GGAGCCCGATGCGGGACTCGATCCCGGGACTCCAGGATCATGACCTGAGCCGAAGGCAGTCGCTTAACCAACTGAGCCACCCAGGCGCCCATCCTTTCCTCTCTTTAAAAGGCTCTTTAAATCAAGATTCTTTGAATGTTTTTGATCGTGAACCTGTCACAGTACAAGCTCTTTGAGAATGGACCCCTAATATGGGTATGTTAATGTATTTGTAATCAATACTACTGAACTCATGTATTGTGTACATTACCAAACATACATGAAAATAGGAAATTCAAAAAAGAATTTAAAAATAGATAAAAATATGATTTCTAATATTTTGCTTTCTACTGTCCAAAGGGGTGCTACTGGGCATTGAGGTATCAGGGGCCATGAGTGGACAGACACCTTAAGTCCTCACCACCGAACAGATCAGCACACATTGTTTCTTTTCTCAGTCTCTTCCCAAATCCAGCTGCTCTGTCTAGAGTCTAGCATATTCCCCAGTGTGTGTCATGACCAATAATAGGAGCTGCCCATTAGAATTACTTTTCCTTGGTAGAAGATGGAACTGGGGCCAACTCCAGGACGCTTGCGGGGTAGGAGAGGTCCGCCGGCAATGCCCAGTCTGTCCCTTGTGAGGTAACCAGCCTCTCCGTTCCTCTCTGTCTTTCCGTAGCTTGCTGCCACCATAGACTAACCAAGTGTACTGGTCTGGGTTCCCTCAGAGGCAGACCCTGAGACGAGCATTTGAGAGCAAGGAAGGTGAAGGCAAACCCGGTAGGGAAATGGGGAAGTGAGAAAGGAAGGAGAGACAGCCAAGACAGCCGAGAGAGTAAGTCCAGCCTGCAGGGGTAGAGAGGCTGCCATTTTTCAATAAAATAGCAGACGGGCACTTTTCTCTACCCACTTGTACATCTACTTGCAGTATTGTAATTGGGAGCTCAGGGCATTCTGATTTTTGTCTTACCTCTCCCATCTCACGTCCTTGTTAAGCACTGTGAAATACACATTATCGGCAAGAACACTCTCTTCTCTCCCCCACCTCTTTTCTTCTCGGTTAACTTCTAACTTCTGGCTGCTCAGTCATCAGGTCTCAGGTGGGGCATCACTTCTTTTCTTTTTCTTTCCTTTTTCTTTAACTAAGCTTTATGCCCAGCAGGGGGCTTGCCCTCACAACCCTGAGATCAAGAGTTACCCCGCTCTGCTCTACCAGCTGAGCCGGCCAGGCACCCCAGTGACACTACGTTTAGAAAGCCTTCCTTCATCCCCCTTACTGGGATGGGGCTCTTTCTCTGCACCCCATCCCTGTCCTATTAGAGATCTTATCGTACCGTATTGCTTTTATTTATTCATGTAATAAATATCTATTCTGTGCCTGGCACTGTTTTAGGTACCTGGAGTTTATATTCCAATAGGAGAGAAAGATTTTAATTTGTGATTTTATTTCAATTTCTTATTTACCCATGTGTTTGCCCCACCTAATCATGTTCATTTGGCTCACCTGCTATGTCCCTGTCCTTCAGCAGTGCCTGCCACATAGGGGTGCTCAGAGTGTTGTGTTGAACTGTGTTGAATTGAAGAGCACAAGCCATCTTAGTTCAGGATGATTTGGTATTGCCATGGCCTTTTCCAACCTTTCCTGTTGGCGTTTTCATACGGTGATGTGCCCACTGAGAGAGAGACATTGACCTCGACTGTTTGGGGCACAAGTCTGTTAACGAGTGAGTTTAAAACTGTGAACATTACTTTGCCAATTGTTTTTTCTGTTTTCAGGCTGGGAGAACACATCCCTGCTCAGCTGGAGGAAAGTCAGAGAGCGTCTGAGAAGAGGCTGGGACCTTCATTTTGCAAACACATAAGGTGCTCACCGAGGCAGTATAGTGTAAGGATCATAAGTAGGGGTTCGAGAGTCTAAGTGCCTGGGTTCAAATCCCAGCTCTGCCACTCATTTGCTGTTTGACTTTGGGCTCTAGGTCCTAAAGTGTAAGTGGGAATGATAATAATAGTATATGCCTCATAGGATGGTGTGTGGATGAAATAAGATTAATACGTATAAAATTAACAAGTGCCTAGAACCTAGCCCATGCTCAATAAATGTTATTATCGTTATTACCATCTAATAACATCTGTCAGTGCTGGTTCATTCAGCAATTGGAGGCTGGCTATAAGACTCTTTGTGGTGCTCAAAGTCACATTTCAGCATTCTTCGTACAATGGAAAAATATGGTGAAGTTCTTCATTTTAAGCGAATTCAGAGTTTTAGACAGATCACGTAAAGAGTACAGCTAATGCAATTCATGGTCCAGAGGCTGACCATTAAAATAACCACGTAAATCACGAGTTCTTTCCCTCCTTTCCTTTCTTTCTGTGATGAAACAAGCATTTAGTGAGTACCTCTTATGCATTTGGTGCCGGGAACGCCAAGAAGAATGAAATGGATCCTTTCCTTTCAGGATTTCCTATGTAAGAGGACAAATTACAGTGCACTTTGGGAAGCTTTATAATTGGACGCGCACATGGCTTTGAGAGCCAGAAGACAGAGTGCCTAACTCCCCTTTGGCGATTTAGGAAAGGCTTCACACAGAGGAGGTGACATTTGAACAACCGTATCTAGACATAGCCATCATTTAACGCCTGTGGACTGAATAGGCATTTGGCTGGAAACACAGCCGTAGAGCGACATGGTCCACTATTTGTTTGAGAGCCTGGGTAATGACACTATCATTTACAAAGCATATGGCAGCCTCATCAGGTCCTAGTCTTGGAGCCCCTGCCATGGAAACCTATATGGTCGTACTGCCTCATAATGAGGCCCTCTGATAGTATTTAATACGCTAATAGGAGTACAGAAGCCCAGAGCTGCCTTTCCAGTTATTTTTAAAGTGACCCCATTAGATTAAATAGCAAGCGAGGTAACCATTTCACTGGATCGCCTATGGCTCTCAAGTGCAGAAAGGAGTTGGCTAAAGAGCAGCTTGGGCGGGGTTATGAGATGATTTTGGCCACAGTCCTTTAAATCCTAGCTTGCGATGCTTAAGGCCAGGAAGCTCGAAAACAAGGTGCTGGTTAACCAGCCAAGCAGCACTGGGGAGAGAACTGCTGTGGGTGCAGCTGCAGTCAGTTTGAGCCTGTGGGAGCAAGATCACCCCGGACGGCCTTGAAAGATGCCAGAACCGTGCCTGGCGGCCCCCATCCTACCACCAGCATCTCATTTCCCAAATGTGTCTCCCTCCTCTTCCTTCTCAAACTCAGCAAAATTACAGGTCGACTCTCAGTTTCCTTCCGGCCGCGGAAGGGAGGTGAATCTCTCTCCCACAGATGGGTTCTCCATCACGCAGCCAATGGAACAGCGAGAGGGATGGAACAGCAGCACGGCACCCAGGGCTGCTCCCTGCGCCCCATGCCTTTTCAAGTCCCAAGGAGGAACGTATAGCGTGCCCACGCCTCTTAGTCATACCCGGTGGCTGCCGTGTTGCCTAAAAATCAGCCTCGGTGGACCTGAAGAGTTAGCCACTGAACGCTCTTCTGCCCTTCCCTAGTCAAATTCCTCGTGTGTTTTGTACCGAGGCAGATTACTTATGCCAACAGCGGCCTGGCCCTGCCTGTCCAGGGCCGGGTCCCCTGGAAAGCAGTCATGTGACCACAGCCCATTACTTGGGTGTGTCCCTTGCTCTCCGGGCCGAGGTGGGAACAGGGCAGGGTGGGGCAGGCAGCGACGGCTCCCAGGCCAACCCGGCCTCGCCCGGATCTGTGGCTCTGGGCTCGCCTTCCAGGCTGAAAGGCAAAAAGCAGCCGTGGCCTGTTCGAGTTCTTTCTTTGTGCATATGTATTTATTTCTTGATTTATTTGTGATTTATTTAAGCAAGAGTTCTCCCTGCAGAGAGCTGCAGAGGTGTGAGATGTGGAGTGTGTGCGTGCGTGCTTGCGTGCGTGCGTGCGTGTGTGTGTGTGTGTGTATGTGGGGGGGGGTGCTCCAGAGAGAGCTGGAATTGTACCTCTTTTCTTTCAGACCTCTGCATCCCTCATAGAGAAGGTTTTTTTCTTGTTTTTGTGTCTCCTGAAACACCTGGGGTGAGGAAAAACCTCCGCATTGGCCAAGCAGAAGAAAGAGGTAATATGTTTGTTCTTAGGTATTTTGAGCAAGCAGAAGTCTACATTATAAACATCTGTTGTGTAGTGATGGGACAGGAAACGTGTACGCCTTAGAGTTTATTTTATTGCTTTGCAATTTCTCGGAGTGATTTTTTCTCAGAGTCTGATTCCTAATCAGTTGTCCTCATCTTGAAAAGGTGTACAGATGACTTTGCAATTTGAAGGGTTGCAGCCAATTTCAAAGGAATTTGGTATTTGGAAAAACTGTGTGGTCACTTGGGTGAGGACTAGAAATGAGGGAAGAGATACTTTGAGAAACCCTTCTAGACCCTTTGTGGGGGCATTACCCAAGGCCCACTACACAACTGCATGTTCAGAAATCTTCCTGTAACTCCCTTGCCTCTTACTATCTCGGAGGATCACTGGGTTTCCATCTCTCTATAGGAAAGGGAAGCAGAATTCCTTGAAATGTTCGAGAATTCTCTTTAGTGATTTAGTGCTTCAGACTGGCTCTGAAACCAAGGTGTAGCTAACCCTTTAGTGGACATTTTTGTTCTTTCACCATTGAACAGAATGGGTCTTTAGGGCTGCCACGAGTCAGCTGTGCCACGGAGTACCATATTTAATTTCTGAGTCTCAGTTCTTCATCTGTAATGCGGGAGTGATGGTACCACCTTAAGAATTGCTGTGAAGATTAACTGGAGTAAGAGAAATATAAAGCACCCACTGGGCTGGGTAAACAGTAGTCCCTTAATAAATAGTAGTGATTTTAGCTATTATGATTATTACTGGCAGAGCATTCTTTCAGATCTTAGTGCTCTCAGGGGAAGAGAGTTCATTTCTGATGAATCTACAGTTATCCCAGAAGGAGTAGACACCCGAGGGTTTTAGCCTCTGGAGGTCCCAGACCATGCATTCTGAAGGAAGAGATCTGAGCAAACATAGTCTCGTTTCAGCACTTGTGCAGGGTGGGCACCCACCCATGCGTGGCCCCTCCGGACTCATTCAGCTAAGAAGAATTGCTTTTTGTTCAAGCTGTTTTTTCCACCCCGAGCTCCTCAGTAGTCCTCAGTACAAAGCCTGTAAGGTGGGCATTATTATTCCTATTAAGAGAAAACTGAGGTGCAGTGGAATTAATGTTAATTAGTTAATTAACTAATTAATTTTTATTTAAGTAGTCTCCACACCCAACGTGCGGCTTGAACGCACCACCCTGAGATCAAGAGTCACATGCTCTACAGACTTGAGCCAGCCAGATACCCCCAGTTTGTTTGACCTCTAAACCCCAGGCTCTAGTGAGCCATCATTAAGCAGGTAGGAACAATAGATGCTCTTGAGACGCTTTACCTCAAAAGGGTCCCCTGCTAGGCTGTTTTGGGAAACAGTGGACACTCTGGCTCTTTCTTAGAGATTCCTGTTAGAGATGCATATTAACATGTTAAAGGCTCTGAGGAATCTTGCAGTCAAGAAATCTGTTTAATCCTCCTCTCCTCAACTTATTCCATTGTGGGACCTTTTTTTGCCCTATTCCTAGAATCATAAAGCATGGAGAACTACTCTTCCACAAACATAGTGTGGAAAACCTGGCATCAGGCCAAGCTGCCTCTCGAAGACCATCCTGTCTGATACAACAACAGATACCTTCAGACACCTTCTGGTGGTCAGTGTGGTTTCCTCCCTGTTCTTATCCTTTCAACCGATGAGACCCGGCAAGAGTCACCGGGTCGGTCTCACAGACTTCCCCTTATTCATTTAAGACCCCAGACACAAGGATATGAACAAGGAAACGCTACAGTGTTCTCCAGGAAAGGTAGTGGTGGAAGGGGCCTCTTTAGCGCCATCCGCCAGGGCCTCCTCTACCCCACTCTAGGCCCCTTGGTTGTCCTTAGGCCACAGACATCAGGCTATAGAACCCCTGTTTTGATGACTACCAGAGAGAATGCAGCAGGGTGAGCCTGAAGAGGTATCTGTCCTTCATGCTCCTGTCTCCACAGTGCAAGGGGGGAAGAATTAGACCGGCCTACTTAATTCCCCGTTTGAGGGGTGGGAGTGTGGTGCCAGGTGAACGACTTTGGGTTCTGGATTTGGGTTCCTCAGGGCCCGAGCTAGAGTAGGAATTTCTCATAAGAGGCAGCACCACATGATTCGCATCTAGAATGCCAGAGGCAGAATCAAGGTCCAGGTAGCTGAGTGGAGGTGTGGGAGTTCAATAAGAATGTACTCTGGGATAAAATAAAGAATGAATAACAACAACTTGGGGAGGTTGGGCTAGCACTTGGAGGGTGCTTGATGGCTGAGGTTAGGTTGGCTCCAAGGGCCATCATTTGTTCTTTCCATGTATCTTCATCTTGGGAAATGAAAAGTGATTGGGATGAAAAGAGCCGGACCTCAAACCCTTCGGCCCTTCAGTTACCCTCCCCGCCCCCACGTACAGTAAAACCTTCCAGCGGAAGCCTTAGAAGCCTTTTCTTTTTCAGATTATAAGTGAGTGCCAATGATGAGTCAGTGTTTCATGTTTGTGCTTTAAAACCATCCTCGATATATAAATATTAGTAGGGACAGCGGCACCGGGCAAATTTCAAACTGTTTTTTGCCAAGATCCGCCTTTTCAGTGTACATGTCACTGATTATGGCCTCCTTGGGTCTTTGTGAACGCTGCAGAAAGTCCCCACCTCTGGAGCCAGAGGACCCATTTCAGGTCCTAGGGAATCATTTCTCCAGAGACTTCTTTGGCACACTAAGTGCTTTTCTAATGCTGACAGAGGGCTGGAAATGGAAGGAGCTTCGATTTTTCTCAATAATGGAAAATCCCCAAATCATTGTTATCAGCTTTACAGCCAGCTAGAGATGTCCTCAAAGAGACATACACTGCTTAAAAACTTGTTTTCCTCTCTGCCTTTAAGTGGATGATGGCAGTGTAGTTTGGGCAGTGTGTGGGAGTACTGAGTGGCACCTGGCCTTACCCAGCTTTTGTCTGGTGAGCATTAAAATGAGCTCTTTTTGGTTTGTTTGTTTGAACTGTTACCTGAAGGAGAAAAACAGTTTAAGAAGAACTTGCTTAATACTTATTTCATAATGTAAAATTTTCAATAGCAAATCTTTTCCTGATAACCAAAGAATTCTAGAACAGTTCTCAGTTTTTCTCCATCATGATTTTAAAATCTTCTTTAAAAATAAGTGTGTAAGTACTACCCATTTTCTGGTTTAATCAAAGGCTTTTGTATAATCAAATAGCATGTATTTGTGCACCAAGTCATGGACTAATACTGACTTTTAGCAATTATTATTTTTTTAAGATTTTATTTATTTATCTGAGAGAGAGAGAGTGTGTGTGTACACAAGCGAGTGAGCATGAGCAGGGGGAGGGGCAAAGGGGGAGGGAGAGGGAGAGAAAAAATCTCTCCAGCAGACTGTGGGTGGAGCCGGACACAGGGCTCCACCCCACAACCCTGATATCATGACCTGAGCTGAAATCAAGAGTTGGATGCTCAACTGACTGAGCCACCCAGGCGCCCCAGCAATTAATTTTTTAAAATACCCCGCCTGGGGCGCCTGGGTGGTTCAGTCATTTAAGCGTCTGCCTTCGGCTCAGGTCATGATCTCAGGATCCTGGGATCGAGCCCCGAGTTGGGCTCCCTGCTCACAGGGGGGAGTCTGCTTCTCCCTCTCCCTCTGCCCCTCCCCCTCTCCCCCCGCTCATGTGCTCTCTCTCTCTCGTTCTCTCTATCCCAAATAAATAAATAAATAAAATCTTTAAAAAGAAAACAAAGGACCCTAGCTTAGAAAGCTCCATTAATGCATTTAGCATTTATCAAACACCTGCTATGCGAAAGGTACTGTGTAGGTGCCAGAGATTCAAGGAGTATTTAGAAAGAAAGATACCCATGGAGCTTACAGTCTAACAGAAATGTACTCAAGTTTGATGCTTTTTAGTTCCTAGTGAATTTTTTATATGGAATTTTGTTTGTTGTGTAATGAACTGAGGCGTGGCTGAGAACCGAATGCCTTTGGGGAGATATACTGCTTTATTTTTTTTTCTGGAAAAAGAAAATCAAGACTGAAATGTCTCACTTCTTCTTGTCTAATCAGTGTTGCCTACTCAGTGCCCAACTCTTCTGTATTCACAAAACGGGGTAGGAAAAGTAGCATAAAAATGAAAGTGAAGCCCAAAGGAGATAACGGAGAGCAGTGTTTCTCCACCTGAGATCTGGGAGCACCTGTGTCAAAGTCCCCTGAAGGCTGCATTCTAATTGCAGATTCCCAGACCCTCCAGACTGAGTACTGGTGGTAAACCCTGAGAATCTTCATGTTTTAATAACCTCCCCTGGTGAATCTTGTGATACTCATGTCAAAGAGCACTGATCTAGGTGCGTGGAGAAGGTCACCAGGACGAGGTGAACTACTTCATTTTTCTTTTTTTTTTTTTTTAAAGATTTTTATTTATTTATTTGACACAGAGAGAGAGACACAACGAGAGAGGGAACACAAGCAGGGCGAGTGATCCCAGGACCCTGGGATCATGACCTGAGCTGAAGGCAGACACTTAACGACTGTTAAGTCTGTTCCAAACAGATGGGAGTCCAAGCATTTAGAGGAAAATGTGATGATCCTTAGGTGTCATCATGGGTTTGCTAAAACATTGTCACTATTAAAGACTGTCAAATTTGGCTGCACATTAGAATCATCTGGGGAGTTTTAAAAAATCTTGATGCCCAACCCCCACCCAGTACCGGTTACATCAGAATCTCTGGGGATGGGACCCAGGCATCCGTCTTTTTAAACCCCCAGAGATTCTCATTTAATGCAGTGCTGTCTGAGCACTGGGAGTTTTAAAAGCTCCCTGGGCTATGGTAATAGGCAAAAAAGTTTGACAACCCATTTGCCTATACGACATTAGGCAAGTTGCTTGACTTCCTTGCACTTTGTGTAAATTCTAGACAGTTTAAAGGTCTCTCCCACCTTTGAACTTCTGGTGATTCTCTTATTAAAAGACATGCCAAACTGATTTCCTCCTTCCTTCCCTCCTTCTGTTCTCCTCCTCCTCCTCTTCGTTTTCTTTCTTCTGGGGGCTGGGATAGTCAAGGTGTCAAAGTATATATCTTAACTTCATGAAAATATTTAGCAAAATTTCCCAGAATGTCTCATAGACAAATAAGATGGTAGTTATGATGGGTGGATTTAGCACCTAACTGAACAAATATGCTCAGAGTATGAATGTAATGGGTGTGCGGTAACCCTGGAGAATGGGCCGGAGTGGAACGTTACAGGGGCTGTTGTGCCCTTGGAGCTGACCTTGTTAACATTTTTTATCCAGGTTGTAGGTAAGAAAGATATGAAAGAAATGCCTGTCAAATTTGGAGATAACCCAACGTTTAGGAGGCTTAATTCATACTATACATAAAGGAACCAGGCCTAGGTCTGAGCAGAATATCTGTTTATTAAGGTTATTGTTGTTTTAACAGTATTACCATAATTCAAATATTGTGCTCGTTTTATTTTTTCTCTTTCTTTAGTTGAGTCAAAATTTGGAGGCTTTTGTGTACTGCTAATGGAAAAACAGCCCTGGTAGGGTCTCAAGTCAGTTGTTCTCTGACTTTGTTCCTATCAAGCAGTGCAAATCGATTAGATCCGGCTGGTTTGGAGCAATACAAAATAAAGGAAGTGTCACCCCAAAAAGCCACGAGGTGGAATACTAAAATCCAGTTTAGCAGTTTCGGCTGATGAGCGTGAGGATAGACCTGGGAGGGGAGGGTGTCTCAGAAACACGTGGACGGCTTATTTAAAAAGGGCCGACTGGACTCTTGATCACAGGTCGTGAGCTCAAGCCCTCTTTGGGCATAGAGTTTACTGAAAAAAAAAAAAAAAAGAAGAGAACACATACAAACGAAAAGGGCGCTCGGTTCCCCTCCCCCCCCATTGTGACACCCTAGTCTGGGGGGAGGCCTTGAGCCTGCTTTCTTAAAACAAGCTCTCCAGCAGATTCTGAGAAGTAGTGTTGAGGAACTCACTTTGATTTGAGTTTTGGCAGAGTTGTTTAAATATGTTGTTTTGTCTCATAGTCCGTCTCCAATCTGTGTTTCTAAAAGCCCAGATAGACTTAATTATTTTGCGCTTACAACCCAAACAGTTAAATTATATCAGGTCCTTCATATCTCATTCCCTATATTTCAATTAGAAAGCCATACGCTCTTACATTTCCGGTTTCCCTTTCATTTTTAATGCTTTATTTTATACAGACCTCGATCTGACCTCGACACGGGGAAAATATAATTTATGTGTAGCGCAAAAGCAATCTAGAATAGCTGCTCGGATGCCGTGGCTGTGTTTTGGAAAATGCACCCGGCTTAGATTATGCCTGATCATTTTCCGCATCACATGCTGAACAGCAGTTGCAAAGAAGCATACAATGAATGCTGCTGAGCAGCCCTCAGATACCTTGCTGTTAACGGGTGCTTTCCTCCCCCCCGCCCCCCGCCCCGCCGCCCCCTGCCTCCTGCCTCCCGTGTCTTCCTCAGCAGGATCTATGACTGAGGTGGATCTGCTAGGAGTGGCTCCTCGCTGCTTAGAGGGAGGCACTTTTCACACTCTGTTTTGGAATGAGAAGTTAAATTCACGAGCACACATGATTTAGAAGACATGGGCTGTGGCACTTCGTCTTCAAGGAAAGACAGGAAATCTGAGAAAGGTGAGTGCCAGCGGGGGTGCCTGTCTTCCTGAATGAATGGGGAGCCTAGCGAGAGTGAGCCAGATTCACCGTCTCCCCTCTCCCGGGGCAGTCACTTGCTTCTCCAGCAGCCCCGTGCGCTTGGGCACAAGGCACCATCACTTGAGCTGAATACTGAAGGTTGAATATTGGCATAACACGGGGAACTACCTTTAGGAAGATGTAGCTTTGAATTTACGAGGTACCATAAAGTATTATCTAAGAGAGAGCTTATGTTTGATTTGATTTCAGCTGAAAACGTACCAATATAAAAAAATCTCCCTTTCAAACTCACTAGCAGGGAACAAGAAAGCCTCTGTAAATTTCTCTGTTTATTCAACATGCTTATAAATAGCTATACCCATACCTATGTGGCGTTTAGCTTCAGCATTGACTTTTTATTAGATTTTGTAACTCAGTGATTGGATTATTTTTTATAGCTATTAAACACAGAACTTCATGAGATTTGCCCCACGTTTTTAGACTATTCCGGGTAGAATTTGGGAAACGCAAGATCATCTGCTTCCCAAAAAGTGTGTTGTTTCTACATAGAGGACATGCCCCCCCATGATCCCCATATAATTAGAGGCTTAACTATTGCCTTTGTTTATTTTGTACTGAAGTTCTTTCTCATACCTACTAAAATCTAGTTGCAACTCACTTGAGTGTTTAAGGGACATAGTCTCCACAAGCAAATAAAAATAAAAATAAACAAACTGGGATGATTATGTGAATAATTTGTTCTTAAACTCCATTCTTTTCGTGTCTAGGTTATAGATAATCTTCCCAGTTTCTTTTCCATGTCTTGTTTCTGGAAGTTTACTCAGGCTTAAGATGGACAGTTTAGGATGCAGAGTATTCTATACTAATTAGCATGTGATGTTTTTTCTTGGGAATCAAATGCTATTCTGCCTCCCAGCTGACTTGTGCTGGTCAGTTAGCAAAGCTGGCCTCCCACAGTAGGGACACGGGAGATGTACTAACTCTTTCAAATCTGTAAGTCTTTCAAAAGCTCCAGCTGAGCTAATTCCATGGTAATAATTTATTATAAGAGAGCAAAGGGAGTAATATTCTTTTTACATCTAGGATTATCCAGAGTTCTTTAAATTTAGCCAAATTTCTCAGGTTACTAAAAAAAAAAAAAGGCCACGCCCAACTTGTAAAAGTAAATTCTCTCTTTTTGAAATACTTCTCAACTTTTAAAATGTTGCAGGTAAATGGAAATGTTGCCTTAGATTTTGGGATTGGTTTTTCTTTTAATTTACCAAGGTGAAATTCACATAACACAAAATTAATCATTTTAAGGGGACATTTCAGTGGCATTTGGTACCTTCACAAGGTCGTGTAACCACCCCTTCTAGTCTAGTTCCAAACATTTTCATCACTCCAAAGCAAACCCCCTTATCTATTGGGCAGTTTCTCCCTATTTCCCTCTCCTTCTAGCCCCTGGCAACCACTAGTGTTGTATTCTGTCTCTGTGAATTTACTGATTCTGGATATGTCGGGTAAATGGAATCATACACAATGCAACCTCTGCCTCCTTTCACTTAGCATGTTTTTGGGGTTCATTCATGTTGTAGCATCTATCATACTTCATTCCTTTTTAAGGCTGAATAGTATTCCATTGTATGTATAGACCACATTTTGTTTATCCATTCATCTATTGATGACATTTGGGTTGTTTCCACCTGTTTGGCTACTGGGAACAGTGCTGCTATGAACATGAGCATATGTGTACTTGCTTGAGTTCCTGTTTTCAGTTCTTTGGGGGTATATACCCAGGAATGAAATTGCCAGGTCATATGGTAATTCTATGTTTAACTATTTGAGGAAGTGCCAAAGTCTTTTCCTGGATCACTCTCTTAAAAGAGCAGTTTTATTGAGCTATAATTCACAGACCACACAATTCACCAGTTTAAAGGATATAATTCATTGGTTTTCAGTATATTCACAGAGCTGTACAACCATCACCACTATCAATTTTAGAACATTTTTCATATCCCTCCTCCAAACCATTAGCTGTGACTCCCCTACCCACTACCTCCCAAGCCCTAGGCAATCACTAATCTACTTTCTGTCTCTATAGATTTGGGCTCTTCTGGACATTTCCTATCAATGTAATCAGACCACATGGAGTCTTCTCTGTCTGAATTCTTTCATTCAGCATAGTGTTTTCAAAGTTCATGTCATAGCAAGAATCAGAATTTCATTCCTTTTCATCGCTGAATAATACTCCATTGTCGGAATGTGCCACATCATATTCATCCATTCATTAATTGATAGACATTTGGGTTGTTTCTACCTTTTTACTACTGTGAACAATGCTACTATGAACATTCGTGTACAAGTTATAGTGTAAACACATGGTTTTGGGGCGCCTGGGTGGCTCAGTCATTAAGCTTCTGCCTTCAGCGCAGGTCATGATCCCAGGGTCCTGGGATCGAGCCCCGCATTGGACTCCCTGCTCCGCGGGAAGCCTGCTTCTCCCTCTCCCACTCCCCCTGCTTGTGTTCCTGCTCTCGATATATCTCTTTCTGTCAAATAAATAAATAAAATCCTTAAAACAAACAAACAAACAAACAAACACGTGTTTTTGGTGCTCTTGGGTATATACCTAGGAGTAGAATTGCTGGGTCATATGGTAACTCAATGTTTAACATTTTGAGAAACTCCCAAACTGTTTTCCCAAGTGCCTGCACCATTCTTCATTTCCACCCGCAGCGTATAATGGTTTTAATTTTTCCACATCCTTTGCAATACTTGTTATTGTCTGTCCTTCTGATTATACCCATCCTAGCAGGTATGAAATGGTAGTTCATTAGGGTTTTCATTTGCATTTCCCTAATGTCTAATGATATTTAGCATCTTGTCATGTGTATATTAGCCATTTGCAGATCTTTGGAAGAATGTCTAGTCAGATAATCTGTCCATTTTTAGTTATTTGTTTTTATATTATTTTGTTGTAAGAATTTTCTTTATATATTCCAGTTATAAGTTCTTTATCAAATATATGATTTGCAAATGTTTTCTTCCTTTCCGTGGGCTGTCTTCTCACTTTCTTGTCCTTTGAAGCAGAAAGGTTTTTAATTTTGATGAAATCCAATTTATTTTTTCTTTGGTTGCTTATGCATCATGCCAAAGAATCCATTGCCAAAGCCAAGATTGTTTATGGCTGTGTTTTCTTCTAAAAGTTTTATATTTTTAGCTCTTACATTTAGGTTTTTGATACATTTTGAGTTAGTTTTCATATACGGTATGAGGTAGAGGAACAGATTTATTCTTTGCATGTGGATATCCAGTCATTCCAGTACCATTTGTTGAAAAGACTATTCTTTCTCCATTGAATGGTCTTGGCACTCTTGTCAAAAATCAATTGACTGTAGATATGAGGGTTTATTTCTGGACTCTGAATTTTATTCCATTGATCTATATGTCTATCCTTATGCCAGTACCACACTGTCTTGATTACTGTATTTTATAGAAAGTTGAAATTGGGAGTTTGAGTCCTTCAACTTTGTTTCTCTTTTTCAAGATTGTTTTGGCTTTCTGGGTCCCTTGTATTTCCGTATGAATTTTAGGATCAATTTGTCAGTTTCTCAAAAGAAGCCATCTGGAATGTTGATGGGGATTGCACTGAATCTGTATACCGACTGGGGGAGTATTGCCAGCTTAGCGGTTAAATCATCTGATCCATGAACATGGAATGTCTTCCCATTTGTTTAGGTCTTTAATTTCTTTCAACAATGTTTTGTAGCATTCAAAGCTTAAGTTTTACACTTCTTTTGTTAAATTTACTCCAAGTATTTTCATTCTTTTTAATGCTGTTATAAAATGGGATTATTTTCTTACTTTCATTTTTGGATTGCTCATTGCAAGTATATAGAAAACAATTGATTTCTGTATATTGATCTTGTATCCCAAGACTTTGGTTGATTCTTTAGGATTTTCTATTTATAAACTATGTCATCTGCATATAGTTTAACTTCTTCCTTTCTATTCTATGCCTTTTTTTTTTCATTTTCTTGCATAATAATCCTGGCTAGAACCTCTCTTAGTGTTGAATAGAAATTCACGAATACACATCCTTGTCTTGTTCCTGATCATAGGGGGAAAACATTCAATCTTTCGTCTTTAAGTATGATATTAACTGTGGCTTTTTCTAAGATACTCTTTGTCAGGTTGAGGAAGTTCATTCCTATTCCTAGTTTATTGGTTGTTTTTTATTAAGAAGTGGTGTTTAGGGGTGCCTGGGTGGCTCAGTCAGTTGGGCATCTGCCTTTGGCTTAGGTCATGATCCCAGGGTCCTGGGATTTAGCCCCGAGTCAGGCTCCCCACTCATCAGGGAGTCTGTTTCTCTCGCTCCCTCTGCCCCTCCCCCCCACTCATGTGCGTGCTCTCTCTCTCAAATAAAACCTAAAAAAAAAAAAAAGAAATGGTGTTTAATTTTGTCAAATGCTTTATCTGCATGTTGAAATGATCATGTAGTTTTGCCCTTTATTCTATGATGAGTTAATTGAATTTCAGATGTTGAACCAACTTGGCATTCCTGGGATAAATCCCTCTTGGTTGTGGGGTATAATATTTTTTATATGTTGCTGGATTCAGTTTGTTAGAGTTTTGTTTAGGATTTTTGCATCTGTATTCATAAGAAATATTGGTCTATAGTTTTCTTTTCATGTAATGTGTTTGTGTGGTTTTGTGATCAGGGTAATACTAGCCTCATAGAATGAGTTGCAAAGTCTTTCTTTTCTTCCACCTTTTAGAAGAGTTTGTGAAGAATTGGTATTCTTTAAATGTTTGGTAGAATTCATCAGTGAAACTGAGTATGGGCCTTTGTGGGTAGTTTTTTGATTATGTATTCTACTTTTGTTATAGGTCTATTCAGATTTTCTATTTCTTCTTGATTCATTTTTAGTAGTTTGTGTCCTTCTAGGAATTTGCCCATTTCATCTAAGCTATTTAATATATCAGCATAT